GAATGTACAAATGCGCTTTACACAATTGATGTGTGTATGGATTGTGATAAGAGTTGTATGAGCCCCTAATAAAATGATTAAAAAAAAGATGAGGGTAGCTATGAATTGTAATCAACTCAATGGCAGAGGGAATCAGAAAAGAGTCAGGTTTCAGATCCTTGAGAAACCTCCTACTCATGTACTGCTGCAGAGAAATTGAGACCAGGAGAGGGGATTTAACAGGCCACGTGAAAAGGCTAATGTCAATTTGACTACTATCAAAGCAGAAATGGATTCTTTAAAAAATCTTTTCAACTCTCTTTTCTATTTTGCCCCCCTCCCCCTTGGGTTGGAGAAGGGAGAATTTTCTGCCAAGTATGGAGGGATTATCTCCTGTTTTTTAAATTTTTTTATTTTTGAGGCTTATTAATAAGACTGAATTTTAAGAAATATATTATGCTGTCGTTGATGTTGATCAAGCACTGTATAAAATTTTGACTTAGAGGTGAAGAATTTGGAAAGGGTCCAGAAAAGAATAATGACAGTAATTAAAGGTTGGAGAAAGGTTGAATCTGAGATAACAGTTAGATGGGAAATAGTGAGGGAACCTTGGATGCCTGCCTTGTTTTCTAGTTGCTTTATTTTGTTTTTCAGCTTTAAGGATGCACAAGTATATCAGAAAATGTTTATAATCAAGCGGCTATCAAAATAAAAAAAGTGCTGGCAAAAGTATACCCTCACAGATTGGAAAGCTGCGATTCAAGCAGATACGTGCACACAACACAATAGCCAAAAGGTGGAGGTACTCTAAACATCCATCAACAGATGGACTGAATCAACAAATGAGGTTTAAACATGCAATGGAGTCATATGCAACAATAAAGGAAATGATGTTCTGATCCATGTTACCACGTGGATGAATCTTGAAAGCATTATGCTGAGTGAAGTAAGGTGCAAAAGGACTTGTGAAGTGTCCACGATAGGCAAATGTGGAGAGACCAGAATTAGCAGTGGTTGCTGGGGGCTGCAGAAAGGAAGGACTGGGGAGTGATTGGTACATATGAAGTCTCCATTGGGGGAGATGAAAACCTGTCGGGAGTCATGGTGATGGAGGAAAAACTTGGTGAATATAATGAACGTCATGGAATTGTACACGCACACATGGTTGGTGCAATTCCGCAAGGATTTCCGAAAAACATTAAAAATAATGGAAGACTGTATAGAGTTCCTTCCTGTAGCAGATATTTATGAAATGCAGTCAATCATTTACGAACAGACAGCAATCCCTGCCCTCTAAGAGTATATATTCCAGTGGATTACGGGGGACTCACTTTCAACTCACGGCCACGGAGTCCATAATAGCGTCATAACAACCTTATAGGACAGGGGAAAACTGCCTCCTTTGGGTTTCAGACACATTCAATCTTTATGGATATAGATAGCCTCATCTTTCTCCTGAGGTGCAAGTGGTGGGTTAGAACTACCAACCTGTGGTTAGCAGCTTAGTGGGTAGCCCACTTCGCCACCAGGACTAGGGGAGGGGTATAGTATAGTATAGTATAGTATATATAGTATATATATATATAGTATATATAGTATAGTATAGTAAAATACAATACTACGGCAAAGAAACACATTCAATAAGTTATCTAGTAGGTTGGAAAGAGATATACAAATAGAGCAGGCTAAAGGGAATTGGGAATGGGAATACTGCCAATTTAAAAGGGGTGGTCAGGATGGGTGGGATCTCTGAGCCAGTGTGGTGGAACAAACTGATGGCGCAACAATGCAGAATTCTGATCCAGCAGAGGGTAAATAGTGATGACCATACTTTAACCTTGTGATTTGTAGTTGACAAACCTATAAGAATCCATTAGGGGCGGGGGTAGAGTTGAATTTGCTAAACAAACAAATAGTGAATACCTTTGGCCAAGTTTGAACAGCCAGAGAACCCCAAATCTGCAAAACCAAACTCACTGCCATCAAATAGATGCCACCCCCATGGGTTTCCAAGACTGTAACTCTTTAAGGGAATAGAAAACCTCATCTTTCTTCCTCGGAGCAGCTGACGGTTTTGAACCGCTGACCTTGTGGTTCACCGCCCAACGCGTAACCACTACACCCGCAGGGACTACTCACCTGCAAATGAAAGTCCAGCAGGTAGTTGTAAATATAGATGTTTGAGATGTAGGTGTAGATCTGGAATCACTGAAAAATCTAGATTGCTCCAGCAGTGGGAATAAATGTATGCTTGAATGAGTGAGTGGGAGAAAGAAGACACTGTCTGTCCCAGTAGAGTGACAGTCTCAGAACCCCACAGGGGCAGTTCTACCCTGTCCTACAGGGTCACTCTGAGTCAGCATCCATTCAATGACAGTGAGTTTGATTTGAGGAAATGAGGCAGTGCGTGAGGTCGCCAGAAGAGGAAGAATCTCACTATTGCATGTCTATATTTTTAGGGGATGAAGACAACGAAATATCCAGAAGAGAGAGTACAATTTTACTCTGATCATTTAGAGAGAAAAGAATGAGAGAGGCTGAGAACTGTGCTACTGGCGTCATTTCGTTCCTTCTGCTTTTCTTCCTAAGAGTAGACTGATCATCTTCATGGCAAAACACTGCCTCCACGCTTCACCCTTTTTTGGAGTGAATCGATTTTGATTTTTTGCAAGGTGGCCCACTGGGTTGGTTACACGTTGGGCTACTAACCACCAGTTCGAAACCACCAGCCGCTCCATGAGAGAACGATGAGGCGTTCTACTCCTGTAAATAATTACAATTTCAGAAACCCACAGGGGCAGTTCTACTGTTATTTTTAGGTTCACTAAGAGTTGGCATCGACGTGAAGGCAGTGAGTGTTTGAAGGTGAGGGGAAAGGAAATAGCATTGACTATATGCTCCAATTGGCTTGCATGCTTGGACTCTCTGACCTCCTCCTGCAGAGCCGGCTCTCCGAGGTTTAAACTCAGGCAAGGCCCATAAAAAAAAAATTTTTTTTAAGTAAAGACAGAAAAGGGGGAATAGCTGGGATGGGGGCGGGAACTCACACAAAATTCAGCGAAGTGGAGAGGGAATACTAGCCTCCAGCCCAGCTCCCTCCTCCTTTCTTTCCACCCCTCCCGCGAGACACGCCCCTTTCTCCTCTATTCTGCGTTCATTGGCTGGTGCCCTTCCTCTCCGCCTTCCAGGGTGGCTACCTTCTACTCCGGCTTTCCTCTTTCAGCTACGCCCCGCCCAGGGCGGTCGGACGACGGACTGTGCCGGCTCCCGGGCTCTTGCAGCCTTTTTCCGCGTTGCTCTTCCCTTCTTCCTGTCCCGCCTATTTCCGCTTTCTCAAGGCTCAGTACCTTTCAGCCAATGAGGTGCTTGGCGCGTAGTGCTCCCCTGATGTCATCACCCTGCGCCGCGCGTACAACCGCCGGTGGCAGCAGCAACTGCTCCGCCACCCTTTGCTTTTGTGGGACTGCTGCGCCGCGAGGATCATGGCGCCGTCGCTGTGGAAGGGGGTGGTGGGCATCGGCCTCTTTGCCCTAGCCCATGCGGCCTTTTCTGCTGCGCAGCGTAAGTGCCCGGGGACGGGTACCGTTCTCGTGCGGGACACGGGGGACGGCGTGTGGGCGCATCCATTTAGGGAGTGCCGGGCCGAATGGCCGAGGAATGGTCGTTTGAGGCCTTAGAGTTTCGGGGTGACAAAGAGAAACAATGACGGGCTCCTGATGAGACGGTTGAAGTTTCAGTGGGTCACTTGAGATTGAGGGAGGGTTGGAGCAGGGGTGTCTGGCAGAGGGCGCAGAGAGGGGCGGCCGGGTATTGAGAGAATCGGGGAATCCGGGGCAAATGATGTCAGCTCCAGCATGGAGTTGGGCAGGCTAGGTGTGGGAATGACAATTTTCGCTTGCTCGGGATCTCTTGATGCTAGGTGGGCAACGTCTTGAGATCTCTTGGGCTGCCCAGTTAGAGACCGGGAAGTTAAATAAGACCCACTGCCGCAGGGGGGCACTGTGATACAAGAGAAAGAGCACTGGACTGAGAGTCCTGGGAGCTGGTTTCTAAAACTTGCTTTACCGCCAAATCTGTGTGACCTTGAGCAAGTATGGTGCCTTCTCTAAGTTGCTGGGAGGTGGGGATTACTGCCTTTTCTATCTTACAGAATGATTGGGGAGTTTAAATGGGAAAAAAATTAAAATCGAAAGAACTTTATAAATTGTGAAATACCGTTGCATGTATTGTCACAAAGAAACCTGAAGTCCAGCATAAGGGGTGCTCTCTTAATTTGTTTGAGGTCTCCTCTCCCATACCAGGAATCAGCAGGCTTTAGCACATAAGCCTAATGCAGCCACCCTCCTGGTTTTGGGGTGAATTGAGAAGGGTTTTTTGTTGTTGTTTAAATGCCCAGAGGGAAGGACAAAATACGAATAACATTTTATGGCCTGTGAAAATATATAAAATTCAAATGTCATTGCCCATCAATGAAGTTTTATTGGAATGTAGCTATAACCATTCATTTAGATCTTTGCTTGGCTGCTTTCCAAGAGCAGAGTTGAGTAGTTGTGATAGAGACAGGAAAGCCTGTGAAGTTGAAAATTATTTACCCTGGCTCTTTGTAGGAGTGGTTTGCTGACCTCTGCCCTTGCCTATAAAGCGTAGTGGTGCTCAAGACATTTGGTGAATGAAGAAAAAAGATGAACCTTGGTGTATTTCTCTAGATTATTTTCCATTTCTTGGAATCACATAAAAAATTAAATATGTATTGGAATAAGCTTGGTCTCTGCCCTCTAGGCTTCATAGGCATGGTATTATGTCACAACTAAGAAACCGACAGTGATAGGGTACTACTGTATTAGCTGTTTGTTTCCCTAGTTTCCTTTGATTCTGTGATATTTTCTCTAAATTTCCAATCTTTTTTTTTTAATTAAAAAAATCTATTAAGTTTATTAGTTCCAAAGAGTGATATCTCTGGCTTGTTGTAAACACTGATATTCATAAATTAAAGTAGATCACTTTGAAATTGATCCTTTGGGGTATAAAAGACTAAAGTGACTTGCCATCTACAGTCATTCTTTCAAGCAATGCTCCTTAACACGGGAAATTTTACATAATTGCTTGGTTGAATTTGATTTCCATTCACCTTTCCTACAGAATTCCATCCAATTGTTGTACTTGAGAGTTTTGTGGGTTTTTTTTTTTAAAAAGTCACTTTATTGGGGGCTCATACAACTCATCACAATCCATACATACATCAATTGTGTCAAGCACATTTACACATTCATTGCCCTCATCATTTTCAAAATACTTGCTCTCCACTTAAGCCCTCAGTCTCAGCTCCTCATTTTCCCCCTCCCTAAAACTCCAACAATCTTAATGATAACAATAATCATAAACTCACTGCCTTAGAATTCATTCTGACTCATAGTTACCTTATAGGGCAGAATAGAACTACCCTTGTAGGTTTTTAAAACCATTAATCATTATGGCAACAAATAGCTTCATCTTGTTCCCGAATAGTGGCTGGTGGTTTCGAACTGCTGAACTTGTGGTTAGCAGCCCAACACATAATCCACTACACACTTGGACGCCTCAAAAATTTTTTTAGCTAACATTAAGTGCTGACCATGCGCCAGCCACATACCTAAGTGCTTTACATGTGTTATATAATTTAATTCTCCCCAAAGCTCTGTGAGGCAGTTGGCAGTAGTAGTATACCCTTCTGACAGATGAAGCACCCCAGGCTCAGGCAGCTGGGAAATGTGCACAAAAGTGGTGGGGCCAGGATTCAAACCCAAGCAAATTAACTCTAGCACTTGCGTGCTATACTGATTTGCTGAATTAAGCTGAACCTTGGGTAATTGAGACTGTGTTGTGCCTAGATGCTAAAGGTGCAGTGATGTACTAAGCAGTATAGTGACTAGTGGAGAAACGAGTAGATCAGGAAAAAAATCACAATTAAGCAATGTAGGCACTGTGCTAAGTATGTAAGACTGCATAGAGGTGGGGGTAGTCAGTTGTTTGGGGGAAAAAGGGTTCAGAAATGGAATCCTAGAGCCAACTGTGGTCAACAGACTAGCCTCTTGGGTCTCAGCTGGGATCTTGTTAGACCTAGAGAAACTCGGCCCCATTCCAGACCTAGGGAGGCAACCTGTGTTTTAATAAGATCCCCAGGTGATTTGCATGTGCATTAAAGTTTCAGAAGCACCGTCCTGGAGGCGATTAGCATACACTAGAGTACTGGGACATTTTCTACAATAAGCTGAAACAATAGTGCAAGAAGAGTCCTTGGAGATTATTAAAGTCCAACCCTCTTCATTTTACAGACCAGGAAATGCCTGGTAAAGGTAGTATTAATGTCAGATTGGGCTTCATGCAAAGAAGAAAGTTAGCTGGTAGGCAGACCGTGGGTTAGCTCATGTCCATGTGTATTGGGTTGTTTCCTTTTACACAGTTCTTTATGATAGACCCCAATACTTAAAGCATAAGAAATGCCCCTAGATATACTGTTTTAAGAGAGTCAATACATAGTCACTCAAAGCAATTTTTAAAATTCTTAATCCATTATTAAACACAGATTGTACAAGGTTCGTCTGGAATTAGGCTTTTGTGTTTTTATATTTCAAGTGTTGAGAACGCCTTGTGGGTTTACCACTGAGGTGGGACCTCTTCTAATGTTCATGCGGGGAAGAGATTATAATTTATTTTAAGAATAATAATGTCATGTCGGATTGTGGCATGCCATGGGGCTAGGTATGTTCTTCTTTGTGATAACAAACCTGGTTATACCAGCACATTCATTGTGCACGAGAATCTCCTGATGATTTAATCATCACATTACTCCCAGATTACTGTTCCAAATACTGAAGCAGTGAAAAGGAAAGCAATGCAGTTCTTTGATTTTTTTTTCAAACACTCCACCTTCAGGGCCCCCTACACACATTTTAACACTGAAATCGAGATATTATGGTATAGTCAAGGAGGAGTCTCAGTGGCAAAGTGGATTTCGGGTTGGGCTGCTAACTGCAGCTCCTCTGAGGTCCAAAGATGATGCTTTCTACTCGCATGGTTAGTCTTGGAAACCCACAGGGGCAATCCTACCCTGCTCTATAGGGTCACTATTGAGTCAGAAAAGACTAAGTGGCAGTGAGTTCGGGGTGGGGGTGGGGGTGGGGGTGCTGTTTGTGTCGTCAACAAGGTTTTCTTAAGTTGAATGAGATCTAGTAAATTGGAAACTGGTATTAAGATACAAGTTTATTAGCCTCCAAATCCTACTTACAACATGCTTGAGTCCCAAGGAACTGGTCGTCTGAGTTTTGGTATATCTCGTCTTGAAATAATACACTATTGTTTTAATGTGTAAGTTGCTGAGTAACATCATTTTCTCATGCCAAACCCCAGAGACAAAGATTGTATCTATAAAGATAGTGATAATAAAAGGCAGTAAATCATGAAAACAACAAAAAATGTGTTACTTGGCTTACAGCAGAACTGACTTGTGACAGAGTCATCGGAAAGGAACCCCCTCATTAGTGGGGGATTACCAGTGCCTTGCAGTCCTTTGAGGGTCAGCCAGCAGCAGAATTAGAAAATTCTGAATGGTAGAACTCAAAATTCATATCCCAGAATCCTGGTTCCACCACTAGTGAAACATAGAGAGGAAAAGAATTTCTATACCACTGTTACTCAGTCGAAGGAAACCCTGGTGTTACAATGCTTGAAGTGCTCACTTGCTACCTGAAAGGTCAGCAATTCAATCACCCTCAGTGACTCGGGGGAGAAAAGACCTGGTGGCCTATTTCTATTTGAGCCTAGGAAACAAAGGGGCAGATCTACTTTACCATATATACAGTCACTGAATCAGCAGCAATTTGATAGTGCACAACTTTACTCAGTAAGATTTACCAAATCCCTGGTGGAGCAAATAGTTGATGTGTTGGCTGTTTTGAGTCTACCTAGAGGAGCGTCGGAAGAAAGGCCTGGCAGTCTACTGAAAAAATGTCTATTGAAAACCTTGAGGGGCACGGTTCTACTCTGACACACATAAGGTTGCATATGACTTGGAATTGCTTTGGCCACTGGAATTTCTTTGTCCACAGCATGAGGGGATGTTGCTATTTCAGACCTGAGAATTTCTTTGGACATACTGATTTTTAAATACGAGGAGGCTTTGAAAAGTTTGTGGAAAAAAACCATTATCTCTTCATTCCATTTTTTTCCCACAGACAGTTTTAAAGTCCCCATGTATGTAATTTTGATTTCTTAGGCTAGTAGAAGAAATTGTTTTCTCTTGCTTCGTTTCAGAGATTTCTAGCATATCGTAATGAAAAAAAAAAGACTCATCTTTTTTTCTTACCCCATTTTATAAGGTGAAAACATGTCATGATGAGACTAAAATGATTGACTTTAAAGATAGTTTTTGAAGAATCTGGGATTAACAATACTGTATGTGAGATCTAAGTGAGCCACGTCTTTGATATATTGATTTATTTGCATTTTAGCAACAGCAACAATAGGCTTCAATTTACTTAATGGTGTGTTTCTGGTTTTTAGATCGTTCTTATATGCGACTAACCGAAAAAGAAGATGAATCATTGCCAATAGATGTAAGTTGGTCATTTCTAGTCCATTAAAATAGATATTTTAAGATTAGCTACTTGGTTTATAATAATTCTATTTACTGATTTTTATGTCCTTAAACTTTTCCAGACATGAAATAATACCTGTTTTCTGTTCATTCCTCATTGTAAAATCCAAAGAATTGGAAACCTGAAAGAATTTCTTTTCCAGAAATGTTGTTGGAATAATTTTTCCAGAAGTTGCGCCATCCAGAGTATGAGATGGAATTAAAAAGTTGATTATTTGGCATTATATTTTAGGAAAATTCCTTTTATGTGAAGGTTAAAAACAAACAACAAACCCAGAACAAAACTGATAATACATGACTAGGGACAAACCAAAGTGGTGAAACTAAAACAAACGAACAAATGTCATTTTTTAAAAACAAAGTTGTATATATATCTGCGTGCGTGTCTATGTAGTAGTTTTACTAACAAGTTTTATCTTTACTGGATTTTAAATTACAGAAGTCATATGTTCTTTGTAACAGAATCAGATAGCAAACATGAAAATTAAAACTGGCCCTATTTCTCAGTAACTTCATTTCTACTTCTAAGAAGTAATGAATACTGTTAACAGTTTGGAATTTACTAGCTCAATATTCTTGGTGCCTAAATAACATCTTTACCTATGTATAGTTATAGCTAATGATATATAACAGTATGCATATGTGTGTTTAGTTTTGTCATTGGCTTCCCCCCGCCCCCGAAACCATTTTAGTGAGAGCTAATACAGATATCAAGCCATTCCATAGTTCAATTACATCGAGCAGTATTGATACCATAATGTTTCAAAGCACTGTCTTCCTTCTTGAACTTCTTGATATTCGCTCCCCTTTATCCCATCCCCCGACCGCTACTGTATCCCCCAGGAATCCTCATTCTACTAGTTGTCTCTATAGGTTCATCGCTCCTGGGTCTCCTATACCAAAAATCAGAAAAACATGTAATAAAAATTCAAGAGGGTCACCCCCAATGACAAAATGTTTAATTTATCTTATACATGCTTTTATGACAGTTAATATTGATGGACCACAGCCTTATTAACAGTGCCTATGATTCTATTGTATAAAATAGGTCTTGATAGACATGTGGTACATGATGTTAGGTTTTAATTTAGAAAGTTTGACTAATAGCTTGTGGCTAATTGGCTTTGGTGGTCTCTAATTAAGGACATGAACTGTTAACTTATTATCCCATCACCTTTTCTTTGTGGTAGATAGCCAGATATGTATCTATACATACATACATATATATATGGAATACACACACATCTGAGCATGTACCCCCCAACCTAGAAAACAGTAAAAAGCTCCACTAGGCAGAGCTTTCATAGTACATATTTTCCCCTCTAGGTGAGCATCAAGCAAATCTCTGAGTTAGTGCACCTAGTGGCATTGCCTGGGAAGGTTCTCTCCAGTCACACTGAATTTTTTCGTAAAAGCATTTTGGCTTGAAACTTTTTTTATTGGTGATGGCCAATTTAAGAGAACAGCGAGTAGCTGTGGAGTTTTATTTCCTGCTGGTGGGCGGGAGCGGGGAATGCAGCAGAAACTCTTGTGTTGTTGAACACAGCTTACAAGGACAGTGCTATGGGAAAAACTCAAGTGTATGAGTGGTTTTCTCATTTCAAGAAAGGTGAAATGTCAGGTGATGACAAACCTCAGTTCTGGACTCCTGTCTACTGAAAAGATTGCATACAAGTGTGCAACAAAAAAGGCCCGATTTGTGGCAGATGGGGGACTGGTTTTGCTACTATGATAATGTACTTGCTCACGCAGCTATCTTTGCCAGTTTTGGCAAAAAACAACATGCCTTTGTTGCCTCTCGCACCTTACCAATCCTCGCTCCGTGTGACTTCTGTTTGTTTCCACAAATGAAGAAGGGCATGAAAGGACAGCGATTTGACGACACAGAAGAGGTGACGAAAAAATGAGGGAGGTGCTGTCAGCCATCCAAACAGATGAGTTTGAAAAATATCTCCAAGAATGGAATCGCAGATTTGACAAAAGTGTTAAATATAATGGAGCATACTTTGAAGGTGATAAGGTTGTTTTGTTAAAAAAAAAGAAATTAAATACATAGCTTTGAAAAAAATTCCAGTTTTTGTTGGGTACTCCCTTGTATATACTCATATCTGAGCATTAATCATTTTAAGTTATTTTAAATAACTTCTGATTACAAATTAGAAAATTGGAAAAATACAGAAAATTACAATGAAGGCAATACTCCTGTGTTGGCTATTGCCAAACAAGAAAACCGTTTGGTTACACAATCTCTTTCAAAAGCACTGGTATATTGCCTAACACAAGGTAAACATGTGAGTAGCCTACACCCAGTGATTCCACACCTGTGCACCAAGAGCCATACAGGGGGATAGAATATTCCAGTAGACATATGTGAGAAGAAAATGTGCATATTGCTAGTGTCTGCAAGAGGAACCAATGGAGAACCACCCAAATAGCTATCAGCAGCAGAATGGATCACTGGTAGTGTTTTCTTATCTTGAAATACCAAACAATGCGAATGGGAAGAATAACACAAGTAACATGTTGAGGGAGAAAAGCCAGACAAAGAATACATTTAATTCCTTTAAAGTCCAAAACTACATGCTTTTAGAGACAGATACTTAGATGGGTCAGCTATAAAGAAGAGCAAAGCACTAATCTAATTCCTAGAGAATTTTGGGAAAGCAGTTTACCTTTGAGAGGAGCAGCAAAGGATAAAATTGGAGAGGGAAACGTGGGACTTGAAGCTACTGGTAACGTTCTATTCCGCTGGGTGGGGACTGAATATCGTTTGTGTGTGTGTGTGTGTGTGTGTGTGTGTGTGTGTGTGTTTATACTGCACACGCATCACAGACCTGTTTGTAAATGTTTTAAAATTCTCAGTTGATGGAATTCCATCATATTTGAGCGTGGAGTTCTGAAAGGCACAGTCCCAGTTTTTGTTATGTGAGCGTGTCACAGAGTGCGTCCATTGAAGCATCGTAAGTATTTGTGCAGCCTCTTCGCAGGGTTGGCAGACGCGTTTATTGTGCCTTTTGTCCAAATTATGTCAAGTGAAAATTGACTCCTTCAGAAGGAGGACTACCCGGTAGAGCAGTGGTTCTCAATCTTCCTCATGCTGCGACCCTTTCATATAATTCTTCATGTTGTGATGATCCCCCAACCATCAAATTATTTTCGTTGCTACTTCATAACTGCAATGTTGCTACTGTTATGAATCGAGCGACCCCTGTGAAAGGGTTGTGCGACCCCTGTGAAAGGGTCCTTCGACCCCCCAGAGGGGTCACGACCCACAGGTTGAGAACCGCTGTGTTAGAGCTTGGCAAACATTGACTTTGTATGTTATATAGTAACCTCCATGTTTATCCTCACAGATAGTTCTGCAGACACTCCTGGCCTTCGCAGTTACCTGTTATGGCATAGTTCATATTGCAGGAGAGTTTAAAGACATGGATGCTACGTCAGACCTTAAAAATAAGTAAGTGGTTCCCTGTCCATAGGTGTTTCGTTCCATTTCACAGGGGTTTGCTGCTTTTACATACTTTAAAATGTATCTATTCTGGTACACGAAAGTTGGTCTTGTTTTCTGATCATGCAATTTGTTTTAGTGAATAAGGTGAAACTATTGAGACCCTGTGTGACATGGTAAGGGAAGGCAAAACAGAATATCAGATTTTTGACATTGAATAAGCAGTTCTTAAGTTATGGCGCATAATACTCACTTAAAATTATGTGTTGGATGGATGGATCAAGATAGATACATAGAAAGAAAATCCTCTGAGCATTAATCATCTCTCTTCCTTCTCCATAGTCTTATCCTCTTGTCCCAGCTTCATTTGGGGCGGAATAAGGTGGTCTTCTCCTTCCTCAATCACCGCAACTGAGTCTGTTACAATAGCTCTTATTCCTAGGCCCTTTCCTTTTTTTTTTTTTTTTCAATCATGTTACTGGAGGCTCATACAAGTCTTATCACAATTCACACATCAATTGTGTAAAGCACATTTGTACATCTGTTACTCCTATCATTCTCAAAACATTTGCTCACCACCTAAGCCCCTGGCATGCTCATTTTCCTGCTCCCCCCGCCCTCATGAACCCTTGATAATTTATAAATTATAATTTTGTCATATCTTACACTGTCCGACATCTTCCTCACCCACTTTTCTGTTGTCCGTCCCCCAGGGAGGAAGTTATATGTAGATCCTTATAATCAGCTCCCCCTCTCTACCCCACCCTCCCTTCACCGTCCCAGTATCACTACTCTCACCACTGGTCCTGAAGGGATCATCCATCCTGGATTCCCTGTATTTCCAGTTCCTAGCTGTACAGTGCACATTCTCTGGTCTAGCCAGATTTGTAAGGTAGAATTGGGATCATGATAGTGGGAGGGGAGGAAGCATTTAGGAACTAGAGGGAAGTTGAATGTTTCATCATTGCTACACTGCACCCTGACTGGCTCGTGTCCTCCCCGCAACCCTTCCGTAAGGGGATGTCCAGTGGCCTAGGCCCTTTTCTATCCTTGTATTAAAGTATATTGATCACACCATTTTATCCTCTCCTATATTCTAGGAAGGTCTGGTGACGCTTGGCTGCTTAACTCAAAATGTGATGATTTGAACCCACCCTTCAGCATCAGAAGGGAGAAAGACCTGGTGATCCGCTTCCATAAAGATCCCGGGCGGCTCTGATGTTCTAAGCTATTTTCATGAGCTTTGTTCAACCCTTTTTCCCATAATACTTCTTACTTAAAAGCATCTTTTAGCTTTGTCCATTCTCATCTCCAGACATCACCCACCTTCCATGATGCTGGCAATGGTGACCCTTTACAATATTAGAGGGATTTACGATGAGCCTTTATGTGATGGAGGAAGCTCACCCTTTCACTTCCATCAGCACACAAGGGGACTTCAAAAACTCGGTGGATAGGTGGAATTAAAGATAATAGAGTTTTCCTACAAGCTCTCTGATGCCTCCCATGTACATTTTGAATAGTCACAATTTCAACCTCATGTTATGTATGGCTCTGTGCTTGGGCTTTTAGGTAGGCTGAATTTTTTATGAAAGGATACAGAAAAGTGAAATTTAAAAAGCAACCACTAAAGTTCATATACTTCGGTGTTTGCCTACTTTTCATTTTGTATGTGTATGCACACAGGAGCCCTGGTGGCCTAGTGGTTACAAGTTGGTCTTAACCACGGTCAGTTGTTCCAAACCACAAGCCAATCCGCAGGAGGATGGGGCATTCTACTCCTGTAAAGAGTTACCATCTACCCTTTCCTGTAGGGTTTCATGAGTTAGAATTGACTCAATGGCAGTGAGGTGTTTTTTTTTAAGTATATGCATACACATACATAAAGCCACTCTCATTGCTATCAAGCCAGTTCTGACTCATAGCCACCTGGTATATGTATGTATATATACATATTGTTAGGTACCGTCGAGTCGGTTCCAACCCATAGCGACCCTGTGCACAACAAAACAAAACCCTGCACAGTCCCACGTCATATGTGTACAAATATGTCACTGAAAACGAAGGCAGGATATTTCACTGTCACCACTCACTACTACTACTAAAAGCCTCCCAGCAGTCATAGGCAAGGGGCCAGAAAAAAAGGACTTCAGGCAGAATAACATTAAGTAGAGGTGGTACCACAATAACAATGAGTTTGGGACAGTAGCAGGTACTGAGCGTCAACAGAAATTTTTCATTTTACTCGAAGGATTCTTGGGAAGTGGATCTGTGAAATGATCACACAGCCTGAAAAGGGCCAAGTGAGAATAGTCAAAGATGCAATCTCTGTTGGTTTTTTAAAAAGATTCTGTGGCTGGGCTTGTACTCGATTCACAGAGGTGATTAGCGCTGAACCAGGAATAGTCATTCTGGAAGGACTGGCTGAATGAAAAAGACGTTTGAGGCCTTGATTTTTGTCTTCTGTGTTTCTCGTTTTCCTTGTACAGGGAGACAATGAGCTAGCGTATGACCGCCACTTAGTCTAATTTCATGATTTGAAACACGACCTGTAGCCAATACAAAATGCATTGGATGCATGCTTATTTTCACATAGCTATTTATAAAAATGTACTTTAAATGGATGGTTTTTCCCTTTTTAGGACAATTGATACATTAAGGAATCACCCATCATTTTATGTATTTAACCACCGTGGTCGAGTACTGTTCCGGCCTTCGGATTCAGCAAACTCTTCAAATCAAGATGCGTTGTCCTCCAACTCATCATTGAAGTTAAGAAAACTTGACTCACTGCGTCGTTAAAATTTTTACGTATGATAACAACAGGACAGGACACAGAGTTGGAATATTGGCGTTTGGGGTATAAAACACTCTCCCCATCAGTATTTATATTGATCATTCAGACCTAATAAAACCAGAATCTATGGCCCTTGTTTGTACACTGTCAACCCAGTCATCAATGCAATATGTTATCTGTGAATCAAGTCTTGACTTTTTCACAGGGATTTTTTTTTTGATTTAGACAAATTCACATCTTTTGTAAATGTCACTGTTTTGAACATATTTCTTTGGAAAATGTTGGTGGGTTTTGTAACTATTTATTTTCTGAGATTTGTTTTGCACTACAGTTTTTAGGATCCTTTTGGAAATACTGTGTGACGACTGCATTTGGCAGCATGAATTAAGCAAAATAGTCTTCTGTTCCAACACGGGGACTTTACTAAGGAGACCAAAATGGTGATCCATCAGATTTTCTTGTGCCCCCTAAAAATGGCTCTTTTTCAGCAGATACTAGCCAGTTTTTAATTTATTCATGGCCTTTTCACCCCACCCCACTCCGAATATCTTCAATGATCCGCCATCTTGTTTTCATCAATTCTGAGATTCTATGTATGAAAGTGAGCAATTTTTATGTCAGAAATTTTTGTTTTAACAAATCTATTTAACATGCTCAACTTGCTGTAAGCAAGTTGGGTTCCCTTTGTTTATCTGTACAAATTTCCCCTGATTGCTTATCTAGTGTAAGAATAGTTGAAGATAGACCAAAAAGACCATGATTTACTGATAATTGCCTTTGTAGATGAGTAGTAATTCACGAGGAAGCCAATTTATGTGTGTGTCACGTAGCCAGTTTAACTCATTGCAGGAAAAATAAACTGTTAATTCATTGCATACTAAACTAGTGAATTTGGAAAATCAAGAACTATCTCATTAATCTGAAGTTAAGACCTCAAAGGAATTGGGCCAAATGAGTTCTCAGTGTTTGGAACTTAATATCTTTTGTTTAAAAACAAAATTAAGGTCGTTTAAGAAGTGGTGTAGCTTCCGATTTAGAGTAGCTGGGGGGTGTCCATCTTCCAGTATGTTGCTGAAGGTGAAGATGAGGACACAGTTGAAGTTATTATTTTGTTGGAAATACTTTGTAATTTTGTTCTTAGGGGAATTTGTTGAGCACTTTCATCTTCCAAAAGCCCAATATTTCTTTTGTAGAACAGATTGCTCTTGCTGAGTTGTATAGAGGTGTAGAGGGACTAAATGGAAGCAGGTCTGAAAAGGAAATGTGCTTTAGGCAAGAGTCGTAAGATGCCCTTGGACTTGAAACTTTTTCCATTGAAAATGAACCTGATACCCTCATTCTTGTTGACTTCCCCCTCCCCCCCACCAATTGAAAATGAATGTCAGCTCTTTTTATTTTGCCTGGTACCGCACAACCCCAAAGCCTAAGGTGGTTTTGTAATGGATGGTTCTTGTCTGGCCAACTTATTCTGTCTGTGGACTACTGACAGTTCTCTAATGAGAATCAAGTTAGAAATCTGCTAATAGCCAAAAATAATTAAAATGGGATATCAAACTTAAAATAATTTTTAAAGCAAAATAATGTGCAGACAAGCTCAGGCTTGTTTACCGTCAAGTAAGGCTTGTTTTGGAAGAGCTTCTTGTTTTCTTTTCTTTGGGGGCTCTTGTCCTGATATTTTTGGGAGTGGGGTGGGGGGAGAGTAAGTTTATTGAGGAATAAATGTAATATTTCAAAGTTCACCCCATTAAAATGTACAATTCAGTAGTTTTTAATATTTATGGTTGTCCAACCATTGCCCCATGCCCAGTAATTAGCAAATACCCTCTCCTTTCGCCATGGCCTCCCTTCCCCAGCCATATGTGACCTCGAATTTCTTTTATCCCCATACATTTGCCTAAGGATTTATGCAATATGTAGCCTTGTGTGACTTGCTTCCCAAATGTGGTTTTACTCTATGTGGAGTGAGAAGTTTTTCTCATCTTGAGAACTGTTACCTGCTGTGAAAGGAAGTTGCCGGAGGGTCAGATGCCTACCAGTTTTCTCAGTAAATTTTATGCAGAATGGTTCTTCTCACAGACAAACATTTGGGATATACTTACAAAATTTTGACCAATCTCTGGAATGGATATTGAAGTGTTTTTGCCTGCCAAGTCAGGAATGTACTGCTAAAAATTATTCCAACTGATTTGACAAATAATTGACATGGCAGTTTTCAGATAGATCTAATTTTGCTAGCAGCTTATATATCTTGGGCCAGTGAGCTTACAAAAACAATTTTTTGATGCCTTCCATTGAATTTCTACTGTCTTTTTAAATGTGCACCATAGCACTAAAGGCGACTTGAGCGAAGTATAGCATTGTTAGGCGAATAAGTACAGAATCGTAGATACAGTGCTGTGAGATGGTCCATTACTACCTAGGGTAGTCCAAACTAACAATGAGCTAGTTACACCTGCAGTTAATTGTGGTGTCAGTGCTATTCCGAAATGCATACCATACAATGCACTCTAGACTAGATCAAGACTCAATTCTTAAATATCCAGGGAACCAGCCAAGTGCTGTGGGCTAATGGCCCACCCAAAGAAAATGCAGATTGGAGGCTGTTGAGCTCTGTAACTTCCTAACGATTGTTTCTTAAGCATTGTGGCTTCACTTTTTGAGTGGCATGATAGCATCTTCCTGGTTCCATGTGACCCGTTTTCTATGATGTACTGAATTAGTGTTGTTTGTAGTGAGCATTGATGTCTGTAACTCCATTTTGGATCTGTTTCCTCTCTTTAAATGACCCTGCCCTGTTCAATAAAGAAATGATTGTTTCACGCTGGTTTGGGTAGTGTTGACTCTTCTTGCTATCTCATTTTCTTTGTCTCTCTGCCCTAGAAAACTGATTTGACTTTTGCCCCACCCCAAGTGTGATGCTGTTTCACTGAATTCAAGGGATACTATTCTTTTTTAGGCATTTGACTGCTAACCACAAGATCACTGGTTCAAACCCACCAGCTACTTGAAAAGAGAAAGACGAGGGTGTCTGCTCCCCTAAAGATTTACAGTCTCAGAAACCCTATGCCAGTGAGAATCAGCCCTCTGGCAGTAGATTCAATTTTCTTGGAAGCAAAATTGGTCTACTCAAAGCCCATGGAAATAGGTCACTATAATTTGTATAATGGGGAAAACAAAAATTTTACATATTTTCTTAAAATATGCAACACTTTAGTCACAATCACACAATATGGAACCCTACAGTTGATTTTCCAGGGGTTGCTGTAAGTGTAATTGCCCTCGACTGTGCTCTTCACCACGTTGAACATGCAACCAACACGGTAGGACATTACAGACTTGGCACTTGTACTAAATGGCACATCTGAAAAGGTTGAGACCATATGTACGCCAAGGCATTCACCAACTCAACTTCCACATGCGAAATTCAATGACAATTTCATGCTCATCATTTTATAGCATAACCATTATCAGTATATACTTCATATTTTTGTAATGCCTTCTTTACAATTTTATGGGACTTTTAAAAAATAAAAAATCATTTTATTGGAGGCTCTTACAACTCTTATAACAATCCTTACATCAGTTGTGTCAAGCACATTTGTACATACGTTGGCATCATTTTTCTAGACATTTACTTTCTGTTGAGCTCTTGGTAACAATTTCTCTTTTTTCCTCCCCCCTTTCCCCTCGTGACCTATGGGACCTTTTGTGTAGGGTAGATGGAGATTTTATGATGTCATTCATGGGGGTTTCAAAGTTGTGGGAAAATTTGTATGAGGGGTGCCCCCCAACAAAAAAAGTGGAATTTTTTTTCAAAGCCATTTTTTTGTTTAATAACAGCCTTATCACCTTCAAAGTACCCTCCATTACACTTAATATAGTTGTTAAATCTGTGGTTCTGTTCTCAGAAACATTTTTCAAATTCCTCTGTTTGGATGGCTGACAGCACCTGTTTTTGTTTTTTTTCCCACCTCTTCTCCATTGTCAAACTGATGTCCTTTTATGTCCCTCTTCATTCGCAGAAACAAAAGTTATATGGAGTGAGGTCAGGTACATGGGGCAAGAGAGGCATGCTGTTTTTTGCCCAAACCAGGTGCACTGTGTGAGCAGGTGCATTGTGGTGGCAAAACCAGTCCCCATCTGCCACAGGTCAGGCCTTTTTTTGTCGCACACTGTTAAGCAATCTTTTCAGAATCTCTAAATAGCTTAATTAACTGTCTGACCTGGTGGAACCACCTCCAACTGCACTAAGAGTCGACATTGTTGTCCATTAGGGAAGCTGACAGACATCCAGAACAAGGCTTGTCACCAATTGACATTTCACCTTTTCTTAAATGAGAAAACCATACACTTGAGTTTTTCCCATAGTGCTGTCCTTGTGAGCTGTGTTCAACATCACAACACTTTCTGCGGCATTTTTCCCCAAGCAGGAAACAAAATCTCACAGCTACATACTGTTCTTTTAAGTTGGCCTTCAAAATAAAACAAGTTTTGAGAGAAACTACTTTTATGAAAACTTCACTGACTAGAGCTACCTCCTCAAAATATAGTCAATGATGTAGATGGAGTAAAGCTCTGGGGTTCTTCATTTGCTAGTGGAGTCCAACTCAACAAGAGATAAAGCAATTACAAACACTCAATCAGAATGCACAAAGTATGAATCTTGGAAAATTGCAAAATGTCAAAAATGAAATGGAGCACATAAAGATTGATATCCTACACATTAATGAGCAGAACTGGACTGGTGTTGGCCATTCTGAGTCGAATAATTGTATGGTTTACTATATCGGGAAGGATAAATTCAAGTAGAATTGTGAAAAAGGACATTTTGAGATCTTGAAGTCTGTGATAGGATAATATCTATAAACATAAAAGAAAGTCCAGTAAACACCAATTATTCAAATTTATCCGCCAACCACTAAAATTGGTGATGAAGAAATTTAAGAATTCTATCAATTTCTTCAGTCTGAAATTACACAGACATGCAATCAAGATTCATTGGTAATGATTGGTGACTGGAATGTGACAGTTAAAAATGAAGAGGAAGGATCAATAGTTGGAAAATACAGCCTTGGTGGTAGAAACAAAGCTGGAGATTGCATGATAGAATTTGCAAGACCGGGCCAGCCCCAATCCCAACTACGTGGATACCTGCCCCTCCCCCCAGAAGAATTTATTTTAGAGGACAGCACTGAATCTGCAGCTCACGGAGAGGGACATGTCTGATCAGAGCACATGGGAGCAAATGAAGGGGAGGAAGAGAGAGTGAAGCACATCCTGGCTCACCAACCCTTGAGGATGATATTTCCACTCCGAGCAGCCAATCCACAAAGACCACATGTACTATGAGACATGACATCCCTCACTGACCCATAGCCCTACAGGGGACAACACGAGACACAGTGTGGGAATTCCGCCCGATCTGATCCCACCACACCAAGGCAAAACACAAGGGCGTGGAACAAAACAGTAAGGGGAACAGAGCAACAAAGTCGCCAGGGAATACCAAAAATAGACTTTGGGGCCAGGGCTTGGCACCCCATCAGACTTGACTGGAAAACACTCCTAAAGGTCAACAAACAGTCCTTGAACTAACTACAAGCTTTTCTTTTTTGTTGTCGTGTTTTGTTTTTTGTCATTGGCTTGTTTTGTTTTCTTTTGTTGCTTGGTTTTGCTCTCTCTTGTTTTTGTGCATGCTATTATCTCCGCAGGTCTGTCTAAATAAATAGGCTGGATGAAACAATCTGGAGGAGAAAACAACAGGACCAACAGTTCCGGGGGGATATGGGAGAGGGAGAGGTGGGGAGAAAAGTAGTGGTGTTAACAAACCCAGGAACAAGGGAACAAGTGATCCACATCGGTGGTGAGGTGGGTGTAGGAGGCCTGGTAGGGCGTGTCCATGGGTAATGTAACTGAGAGGAATTACTGAAACCCTAATGAAGGCTGAATATGATAGTGGGACTAGAGGAAAGAGCTAGGAGGTAAAGGGCATTTATAGAGGTCTAAATGTAGGCATGCACATATGTAAATATATATATGAGGATGTGGAAATAGATCTATGTGCATATATGTATAGATTTAGTGTTAACGTAGCAGATGGACATTGGGCCTCCACTCAAGTGCTCCCTCAATGCAAGAATACTTTGTTCTATTAAATTGGCATTCCATGATGCTCACCTTCCTGACAATCGCTGAAGACAAAGCAGGTGTATAAGCAAATTTGGTGAAGAAAGCTGATGGTGCTCGGCTATCAAAAGATACAGCGTCTGGGGTCTTAAAGGCTTGAAGGAAAACAAGTGGCCATCTAGCTCAGAAGCAACAAAGCCCACGTGGAAAAAGCACACCAGCCTGCGTGCTCACGAGGTGCTGAATGGATCAGTTATCAGGCATCAAAGAAAAAATCATGTCATTGTGTGCTCACCTCCCTAATACGATTACTGAAGACAAATGGATGCATAAGCAAATGTGGCGAAGAAAGCTGATGGTGCCCGGCTATCAAAAGATATAGTGTCTTGGGTCTTAAAGGCTTGAAGGTAATCAAGTGGCCATCTAGCTCAGAAGCAACAAAGCCCACATGGAAAAAGCACACCAGCCTGTGTGATCACAAGGTGTCGAAGGTATCAGGCATCATCAGAACAAAAAATCATATAGTGAATGAGGGGGGGGGAGTGCAGAGTGGAGACCCAAAGCCCATCTGTAGAAAATTGG